AAATAGTCCCATACTATCGACGACATGTTTGTATACTGTCCTGGCTTCACGGCTCCCACCATTTACGTCACAGCCAGGCATGAGTTAGGGAGCGCTGGATTTGTGAAAAACTCCCCTCTTCCTAAACCACTAATACCACAGTACTGGCAAAACGGGAGGAGCCGAGTGAAAAACAAGCGCCCCTCATCCCAATCCACCCACACCGCAGAATTTTTTTCTTTTTTTTACCCAAAAAATATATTGTATATTATCGGGGCTATTAATACTTTTATCGGATTTATCGGAATGACGTCATAATTCCTAATATCGGACCGATAATTATCGGGCCGATAATTATCGTGCACCACTAGTTTAGTTTAACCAGCAACATGTGCATTAATCAGTTAAAATGATCCTCTGATCCAAAATGTCAGGAACAGTCAGAAATAAATTTCAGGAAACGAAAATAAATCCGGATGGGACTCAAGGGCATTAAGACAGCAGCAGGATACACCGACGAAAATACATTTAAAAATCAACATGAAGTCAATGACCGTTGTTAAAAATGTGTTGTTTTTATACCAATAATAACTACATTCATATTTTCACCTCATTAATGATGCAGACAGACAAAACTGAACGTTAAAATAAATTCATGTGTTTTTAACTTCTGGATGACAGTGAGACGGGTTAGGGTTATAGCCAACAATGTGATAACGGAAATCTATCACCCAATGAAAGATATCCATTATCATTATATAATAGTGTTAGAAATTGACAGTGATTTTTATTGAATGATGCCTGATAACCCAAGGTTGCTGATCAACGATCCATACTGGATCACTACAATTTTCCCTGAACCATGGAGTCTGCAAGTCAGTTCATCCAGAAACAAAATGATATAAACAAATCAGATCACCTTTATTCTTCCCACAGAGAGGACATTTACATGGTTACAGCAAAAGTGAAGAGCCAGATATATAAAAATATTAAAGATAGAAATTACACAAATAGAAAATTTACAAAAATATACATCCAGGTGGACAACAAAAAAGACCAGTAATACTATAAAAATATATATATATATATAAGTGTCGCGTGTATCAAGTAGTTTGATAGTAGCCAGGTGACAGTAGTAAAAGTGGAAGTATATATTGCATGTTATTCAGAAAGAGATATTGATGGAGATTTTTTAGAAGATGTCCTGTGTGCCGGACAAACAGAAATTAAGGTGATATTTCTCCTGCCTTCTTTGTCTATCTATAATTATAGTGACAATTATATTCCTTAATGTTTTGATAATAACATTTCTCACAATCGTGGGAGATTTGAGGTGTTTTTCTTCTAGAATTGAATGTGAAATATGATCTCTCCCTGTCCTTCTCCAGGCAGTCGACTGGCACTGGATCCGTCAGACACGCCCCCTGAGCAGTGCATCATGGGCCCTGGCACCCCCCAACAGCCTGAGATATCAGAACATTAAGCAGCCCGTATTGTCGCACCCGTTCCACCATGCCAGCCAGCCTCTTTCAGGGGCTGACGGAGAGGAGGAGTGGGAGGGGGCCCTCAGCGTGTGTGTGCTGGTGCGGCAGGGGGAGTCCCACAGCCTCCACACCCTGCTGGAGGTCCCGCTGTTTGCCCGCAATAAACTAAATCTCCTCGCTCCTGGGCTTCACCCCCCCTCCGAGTTCTCCTTCCCGTTGACCACGGTGGACGGCAGCCAGGAGGACGACATCAGCGTTGACAGCTTCAAGAGAAACGGCGCTGCTATAGAGAGAGAACACGGTTGTTTCAGGAGCCTGTTTGAAGCCGAGCGGTGTCCTGCTCCCTTTATGTATGGCTCTCAGTTTTACTGTTTCCACTGCCCGGGCACGGAGCCGGCGCCTGGCTGCGGACTGAAAACTATGGAGGATATTGGACTTGAAAACAAGCTTGTGGTGCTCTCTTTGCAGCCTCACAGCTCTCTGTACAGCCAATCAGAGAGAGCAGAGGGGGAGCACACTGAGAGAGACAGTGAACGAGAGAGGCAGCTGGCCCTGATGTATGAAAGACTGAGGATAGAGGTAAGACTGTTTATTGATCCTCCAGTCCTTTCCTCACAACACAATGCAATACAGCTTTATTTGTAAAGCACTTTAAAACCTTCAGACCAAAGTGCTGTACAGAGAAATGAAATAAATAAAATATAAAAATCACAAAGCTCAGCTTGCAAACTACCACACAAATTAAAAAAAACAAGATAATAACTGCTATTAATGTAAAAGTGTATAGGCCTGTCTGATGTGCTGGGCCAGATGGCTCCACGGTTTAAGGGCCTGAGGGGCTCTGAGCTTTGACTCCGTTTCGGGCACATTCTGGAGCAGTTGATCAGCTGACCTGAGAAGGAGGGTGCTTGTCAGTTGACCTCATAGTCAACTGACAAGCGAGAAAAAAAAACAGTCGTCCTTTTAAAGCGACCTCACTTTAAGAAGACCCGCAGCTCAGCTGCACCACCTGTTCACTGTGAGGCCTCTTGTCGATCTCAGATGCCGAAAAAACTTCTGCAAAGAATACAAATGTGCATCTGTACTCATAGCTCCCCAAGCATGCCATCTCTCCTCTAAATGCATTTCAGGAATTCAATGTCCTTCAAGATGATGCATTGAGATCAGTTTCAGGGTCACAGGCAGGAGGGTGAAGCAGCGGAGAAACAAAGAGACACAAAATAGGAAATGAGTCTGGATAAGTTAATTGAAGTTGCGCAGAGCACTTTTTGGATTTTATTTTACCAAGATAGGTTCTCTCTTTAAGAGAGTCCTGGCCCAAGATACAGTGGGGCAAAAAAGTATTTAGTCAGCCACCAATTGTGCAAGTTCTCCGACTTAAAAAGATGAGAGAGGCCTGTAATTTTCATCCTAGGTATACCTCAACTATGAGAGACAAAATGAGAAAAAAAAATCCAGAAAATCACATTTTCTGATTTTTAAAGAATTTATTTGCAAATTATGGTGGAAAATAAGTATTTGGTCACCTACAGACAAACAAGATTTCTGGCTCTCACAGACCTGTAACTTCTTCTTTAAGAGCCTCCTCTGTCCTCCACTTGTTAACTGTATTAATGGCACCTGTTTGAACTCGTTATCAGTATAAAAGACACCTGTCCACAACCTCAAACAGTCACACTCCAAACTCCACTATGGCCAAGACCAAAGAGCTGTCAAAGGACACCAGAAACAAAATTGTAGACCTGCACCAGGCTGGGAAGACTGAATCTGCAATAGGTAAGCAGCTTGGTGTGAATAAATCAACTGTGGGAGCAATTATTAGAAAATGGAAGACATACAAGACCACTGATAATCTCCCTCGATCTGGGGCTCCACGCAAGATCTCACCCCGTGGGGTCAAAATGATCACAAGAAC